CAAAACAACAAACAAACAAACAAACAAACACATACACACGTCACTACTCTTCCGACACAAAATAATCTGCCGACAAGCCAATACACATGATTGCATTGCGATTGACACATCAGTGTCGCTTAACACATTGACTGCCAACCACGAGATTAACTCGTGCTTGTCATTTTCATCTGCGGGCGCTAACAAGTTTATTCGCACTGATACTTTTAGTGTGGAAATAATGTTATGACTTCAGTTGAAGCTATAAATCAACCCATAAATTTTTTCTTACCTATGTCGGCAATTATAATGCTGGCGTTTGAAGTCAGATTACGTAATTGACCTCTGACAGTCAATGGGTTAATGATGTATGCTAACTTTCCAGTGAGAAGATGAGTTTTCCTTTTATTCTAAAGACTGATCAAATAGATTGCTATTCGATTCTGTATATATGTATAACATATGTGTGTGTGTGTGTGTTACCGATTGCTTTGATCAATTAAATTGGGCATCTCATGGGATCTTATTTACACCCAAATTCTGCCTCCTTGAATTTTTATTTGGTGTGAATTGAAATTGAAAAACTTTTCTCCAAGATGTGAAATTACCTGACGTCGAATCCACATCCTGTGTTTTTCCAACGTTTTTTTTTTAACTCTGCTAGTAATGGACAACTTAAGACATTATCAGAACATGTCTAAAGTGACCCGTCTAAATTAAGAAGCTATTTCTGTAGGGTTTTATGTAGACTTCCACGAAAAAATGGGTTACCTAAAGTTTAAAATTAATTTAAAAAAAAACACAAAAAAGAAAAATCTTTCTTGGATCCTTTATTTTAGTTTAAATTAAATTTAATATTTTCAATAAGCAAAATACTTTGCTGTATTTCAAAAACTAATTTAAATTGATTGAAAATATTTTTTTTTCTAAAATAGCTGATTAACTCCCCTTTTTTTTAGTAATGTAATTCTCTTTATTAACAAAATCTTCCCAAAAATAAAATATTTTTCTGAAACTTTATTTGAAGAATATCAGCTGATTTAAAGTATAATTAATTTGCTTTGAAATAAATATTATTTACTTTAAGTTTAAATGCAGCAGAAATGCATTTTTTAATCCGATAGTAGCTGTTTAAGGTGTTGACGTGTCTAATGTTGTTCTACGGTGACTTTATCAACAAAACATAATTGAAGAAAATGATTTGAGCGCCTTTTTTATTTAATTTTTAAGTACTTAGTAATCTTAAAGATGTAAAGAAAGAGTCTTCGTAATCTAATGTTCTATTGAATTTTAGAAAATTTGCCTTTTAATTTACTATAGTCATCGCTTTTATTTTTTGATAATATCGTGTATGGTCGCTCGTACGTACAAAAAATGGCACGTTTATACACTAAGAAAAAAAAATTCAAAATTATTTTTTAAAATATTGGTGTTTGATGATTTGTATTAAGCTTTTCCATTTATGATTAGTTTTCGCTTAATATTATCATCAAAACCGCTGCAATTAATACAGAATTTTAAAACTTAATAAATTTTCTAATTAAAATTTTTAAAACAGGTTTGTTTTTGACGGTTTGCAAGTTATTTAAAGGCAGAAAATTTAGATTTTAAAAAGTTTTTTGTTTTAATAATGATTTTTACTAATTAACCTATTTAGAAGAAAACTAATTGATACTTTTCCCAAGGGTATTTGCGTGTAAGTAAATATAATGAATCCGACTGGAGTTGGAACTTAGCTCTCCGATTTGCAACTCCGAGCCGTTATTTATTGCACCACCCGCACATACACCCCCTGATATTCCTAAGCGGTTGCTCATCTCTTTATTGACCAGGCTCAATGTTGCTTAACTTCGGTAATCGTACAAGAACTGATGTTTCAACGTTATATGGCCGTAAGTCGTTTTGAAGATTGATCCTTGGCACAGGTGTGAAATATGGCCAGAGATTTCAGCGGTTGAACATCAAGATTTACTAAAGAAATCTTCATCCTCGGTTGTCTCACAAGGACGACAAATATTTCTAAAATTCCAACTGATTTTATAGTTCCAACATTTGTCATTGTTTTTGTTTTTGTTGTTGTTTTTTCAGAACAAGCAAATGTAGAATGACGGTTGTTTAACTTATCGGTTGGTGACTTCCGACAGCATTTTCTTTTCTTTTTTTAATCAATTCATCCCAAGCAAGACGATAAGGAAGACGAAGACGCAAGGGCTAATGGCAGAAGAAAAAGAAAAAGAAGACGTTAGAAAGAAGAGAAAACCCAATCCTAAACAGGAAACAATTGTTAAACACGCTTAAAAGACCGAGAAGGAGTATGAACTGGACCTATCTACTCCTATTGAGGAACAAATAAAAAGTATAAGTTTCAGAGTTTAGGGGAAGACATTAAAAGTATAAAGTTGAGGTAGAATTTACAAGGAACCGGAAACCGAATCCTAATTAGGAAATACGGTATAAACCTGTTCAAAATACCCAGGAGGAGTGTGAACTGGACCTATTTACTCCTATTGAGTCAAAAAATAGTATAAATTTCAGAATTTAGGCAGACACATTAGAAGTATAAAGTTCAAGTAGAATTTAAAAGGAACTGGAAACGCATTCTTAAACGAAAAACGAGTGATAGACCTGTTCAAAACACCAAGAAGGAATGTGAACTGGGAATATGTACTCTTATTCGGGAAAAATAGTATAAATTTCAGTATTTAGGCAAAGATGTTAGAACTATAGTCTATATAAGTATAGACTTTACAAGGAACTGGAAATCCAATCCTAAACTGGAAACAAATGATAAGTTCTGATCCTGTTCAAATGGTCGGGGAGGAGTGTGAACCGGACGATAGGTGAACCCAACTACTATAAAGACTCATTAAGGAAAAACCAGAGCCCAGAACGGAGAGTCTGATACGCTTTGTATATTTCGACTATCCAATGGAAGGAAAGTGAGTGGGACAGTCTTGTTCGCTGTTTTAAACAAATCTTCAATTGATCAACGACAAAAACGCAATCAGTCAGCAACTCCGGACAAAGATTACACATGCCCAATCATGTCTGACATACGTTGATGCTTAGACAAAGGTAAATTTAATTAGTTTATTATAGAAATTCATAAATAGATTGCGTGTTGCGCGCGCACGCACGCACACACACACACACACACACATATATATATATATATATATATATATATATATATATATATATATTTCTCACACAAAAGATTAGTTGTCAACTGTTAATTAATTTGTTGGAAAGAATGTCATGCTTCATTAAGGTACAGTTTGTTGTTAGGCAACAGGATGACAATGTGGTCATTGTTCTGGTGAAGGAAAATGTATATAAATTGTCAATTAATATACGAGAGATTACTGCATATGCAGTTATTGAACTGCTCCACTAACGCTCACTGATAACAGACCTACTGAGTCAGTCTACCAATAAGCTTCATGAAATTTATCCCTGTTAAATTATCACGCGAGATTTGGTAACGCTCACTTGGAACGGCTCTGTGATCTTTACGATGACTGACAATTTCGAACAATGTGCCTGCGTGAAGCTCGACAAATCTGATCAGACATTTGAAAGATTTCACCAGGCTTTCGGTGGATATTACATAGAAAACTTTTTCTTTTTTTTCTTTTTTCTATATGTATTTTTGAATTCCGGTCGAGTGTCGGTTAAAGATGATGGACGTTAACCATCACCAGTTCTCTCATATACATGAAATAAGTTATAAGACATTGCCAAAAAGGTTCTAATCTGGAGATTTTCAAATATCACTTCGCATATTTTTCTTGCAAAATGATTCTAAGAAAATCATTCCTTTTCTAAGAAAAGAAGCACCTTATTTACAAGTGCTGTTTCGTCTGGCACAAGGCCCCACGTTACTTACCGTAGATCGTATACCGCAGAAGTCACACATTTGACCAGTTTCATTGATTCGTTTTCTGCGGGTTATTTAAAACGAGAAAATGCTTTTGATTGTAACTTGGGTTTTTTTTTTTTTTTTTTTTTTAAGATAATAATGGTTTCGTGATACATGTTTTATTAGTTAACCCATAGCAAAAAAAAGAAAAAAAAAGAAGATTAAATCTTTATAAATTAACATTCATTTGACCTTTCTCTACTTACATTAGACTCGAAAAATATTGAATTTTTTATAATTTTAAAAAGTGGGGGTCCTGTTCATAATATCTTTAGAGTATTAAATCAATCCCTGAAAGAGATATCTTTGTTTTTATTTATAAAGATTCGCCTATCGTCCGATTTATACTCTTCCCCGGTCTTTTGAATAGTTTCGTTGGTTTGTTTTGTTTAGCGGCATAACAACACTTTTATGGGTCATTTAATGCCAAAATCTAAATATTCTGAACACAATTTTATGGCTTCAATATATTTTGAACGCAATTGTATGCTTTCAACTACAGATAAAATGTATTGTTGGTCATTTTGTTATTATTTATTTTTAGATAACAATGATTTTAGTGATACAAGTCTTACTAATTAACCCATAACAATGGGGAGAAGATATGGATTCATATTTTTTCCCAACGGTATTTGCACATATATAACGAACCCAATAGGAACTGGAGCTCTCCGATTAACAATTCTGAGTCATTATCTAGTTCACCACTAGCACGTCCAAGCTTACAGCACCTGTGGCATTCCCAAACGGTCACTGACCGGGCTCGACGTTGCTTAACTTCGGTGATCGGACGGGAACCAGTGTTTTGACGTGATACAGCCGTAAACCTTTGAACAGTTTTATCGTTACTTAAATTTGATGATCATACTAGAAGTCCATACTTTCAGCGGAATTTGACATTTAGCCGAAATTTTCTTCGATATTTTCAAAGCCTTAGAATAGTTATACACAAGACCAAATATGAGGAATTCTGACCTCCTCCTCCTTCTTCTTCTTCTTCTTCTTCTTCTTCTTCTTCTTCTTCCTCCTCCACCCTCAAAGACCAGTCTGCTTTGAAAATAACCCTTCATTTTTTTCTTTTTTTTTTTTTTACATTTAGGTTGATTTCCAATGACGATATGATAAATACGCAACTATTTCAACCATTGTTGGGTTTTGTTAGGGTTAGGAACACTAACCCTAAGTACCTCATCGGTGACACACGTTAACAGCGCCTTCTAAAGGGAAATGATTACTGGTACGTCTGTGCGCGATTATTTTGGCTATCTTTCAGGCAATTTGAATATTTGGGAAGTGTTCTAACAGAGGACGGAAAGTGTGACACAGAAATCCGAAAACGTACTGGGATGACCAAATATGCCTTCCAAAAGCTAAGCAGAGTATTAAGAGACAGAAAAAAGCTGTTACATGATATCTCTCCTCCCGTAAGGTAACGAATGTTCGACAATCTCCTCGCAGATGAAGAAGAGACTTGAAGCAACAGAAATGGGGTTCTACAGAAAAATGCTTAGGAATATCAACAACGAGGTTTTGGAGAGAATGGAAACGAAAAGGAAACTTATACTTAACATCTGAAAAAGACAGCTGAAATTTCTGGGGCACGTAATGAGGAAGGAGGGCTTGGAAAATCTGATACTCACAGGGCAGAATAAGGGAAAGAGGGACAGAGGAAAGCGGTGCGTAATATACTTGTCAAGCTTGTGTAAATTGATGTTGGAACAGGGTTTGGCAGAAATAACAAAAAGACAAAAATTGTTAAGAATTACAAGGGACAGGAAGATGTGGAGGGCTATAATCGCTTACGACCTGAATGGACAAGATGCATAAAAGAAGAAGCTTACCTTCAGTCGGCCACTTAGCCAATAATTCAGGACAAAGCAGGTTTTCGAAGGAAAAAAGCGTTTCCACCCTCCCTTACACCTTCTCTTTTTCATTCCCCACCCTCTCTCTCTATTTTTGTAACGCCTGGTAACATGTCCTTTAACCAGTAACCCAGGGACTCAGCTGACACCAGTGGCTTGAGTCACGACAACGTGTCAGCAAATCACTTCGTTGATTTTCCACCGTTCTTCTTCTTCTTCTTCTTCTTCTTCTAATAATAATAATAATAATAATAATAATATCAGAATCTTCTTCTAATAATAATAGTAATAATAATATCAGAATCTTCTTCTAATAATAATAATAATAGTAATAATAATATCAGAATCTTCTTCTTCCTCCTTCTTCTAATAATAGTAATAATAATAATAATAATATCAGAATCTTCTTCTTCTTCGTTCTCCTTCTTCTAATAATAATAATAATATCAGAATCTTCTTCTTCCTCCTTCTTCTTCTTCTTCTTCTAATAATAATAATAATAATATCAGTAGCAGCAGCAGCGAAGGAAGATTTTCAACGACACAGCTAAAAAATAGTGTCCACATTCTCAGCAAAAGAATCAACTGACCTGTTAAAATCATCGAAGGACAAAAATAAGCAGCAAGGCGTTGAATCCTCTAAATATCTTTAACTCAAGAAGGCTACATAAAGAAGGATATTTATTTAGCTTAACTTAGATCTGGTACAAGGCCAGCAGAGCGGGGCACGCTGTAAAGATTCTATTATTCTTTTTTCTATGTACCGTGTCCCTTCAGGACATTGGCTATCAATGCTTTCCACAATTTTCCCTGTTCTGCCAACCATCTACACCAGCTCATTGGGTAGGTTATGCACTGCTTCCCTCTGTCACTCTGGCCTTCAAGATGTCCTGTGAGTGTCAAATTTTCCAAACCCTCTTTCCTCATTATATGCCCGAGAAATTTCAACTTTTTCCGATGTTAAGCATATGTGTCCTTTTTATTTTCATTTTTTCTAAAACTTCCTCTTTGCTCACATGTTCAGTCCATGTTATTTTCAGCATACTATGTAGAACCACATTTCTGTTGCATCAAGTCTCTTCTTCAGCTGTGAGGAGATTGTCCAGCATTCACTGCCACACAGGAGGATAGTTTTACATAACTATTCATGATTCCTTTCTTTATTTCTTTATTAAGAAGACATTTTTTGGCTATTCCAATGTGACTTCGGATTTCAGTGTCCCATTTCCCGTCCTCTGTTAAAACACTTTCCAGATAGTGTATATAATATTATTCAGACTGTTGTTCTTGTCTTTATTACCGTTTTTCGGCCCTTATACACTGCAGCCTTCTTCAGGCAATATTTCTTGGGATTTCGATTCGAACTCTTTATTTAGTTTACCGTGGCAGATTGTTCTAATGCCAATTCCACTTCCAAATTTTTGCTCCCTCTGCTGTGGCCAGGTATTGAACTCACAATACTTTGGGTTAAATCACTTTTGTATCGATCGATCAATCAATTAAATGCTTTTATCCCTTGCAGACAACAGTCCGAATAATGTAAATAGTGTAAATAGTTAAACACCTCATCTCAGATGTATAGATACTTCTGAAGATATTTAAACCGTAGATTTTAGTATCCCCGATTTGTAATTTGCATGTTGAACTGTCCATTTTGCTAACAACCAGACCTTCTGTCTACTTACAATCGCTTTCCTTCATTGACTTCTGTAGGAGTTCCAAAGATTTCATTATAGTATTAGTAAGCAGTGAGACACATTGCTGAAAGGTGATACATTCAGAAAAAAGTATTTGATATAGTTTGCAAAAAATAATAATTATACTTTCAAAGCGAGTTTTATTAGTAACTAGTGTATCCCTGCCATCAAAAATATCGGCAGTTATTAGAAATTTTTAACAGTGCAATGAAAGAAAATCTTGAAACAAAGTATTGAGATTCAATAAAGCCGAGATAATTCACAATTAATATACATGCTAATGAACCATATAATTAATCCTTTCCCTTTATATTTTTAAAGATGCTCAGTAGCATCTATGATTCATTGATTACTATTGGTATTATATAAATCGATTTGAGCTCAACATCTTTTCATGTTAAAATTTTATGTACTTAATATAACAGTGAAATAGAAATATCACACGGAAGAAAAAGATTAGCAGCAAAACGACAAAGACGGCGACGACAAAGCCTAGTTCAAGAACAAGTTAAAGCAAGCCGATCACTTAATAAACAAAGGTATCTGAGTGCCTCATATGAAAGGCTTGAACAAATAAGACTGCAATCTAAGGAACGTAGGAATAAATGAACTGATTAATTAAACGGTTCATTTTGCTCGGGAACTAATTTTTACTAAATGCAGAAAGTATTTTTGGTATATATTATTAAAACGACGAAGGGAAGTAATCACTCACGAATTTACTTGACCTACCTCCCTTCCGACTACAGATGGAACAGGAAATATATAAATAAATACACGGAATATATAAATACATACATAATGATAATTATTATATGGTTTGATAACTTATTGGGTTCAGTCACAAATAATACCTGTTTTTGATTATTAAATTCATTTTTTATAAATTAAAGTACAATTACATTTTATTTAGTTATATAGTCACCATTATTTGTAATGACTTCTTGTCACTTATCATCAAAACAATTACCATGAAAATATTTACAGAAAAGACACAAGGAAGCAGTTATAATCGTAATCTGCATTGCATGTGCACATTATATGTATTGCATGTGCACATTATATGCATTGCATATGCATATTATATGCGCAAGAAAACAGATTTGGTGCGACTTGTTATCTACAAGGAAAAAATATCTACACCGTAAAAAATTTTATTTTGGAATGATATCTACATACTAAAACATATTAGGAAATTGGAAAATGAAATTAAAATATTTTAAAAAATCTTCTATTTATATTCTAGTGATAAACAGGAAACACGGTGAAATAATGGATAACGGCTTGGATTGAGGAATCGGAGAGCCGAGTTCAAATTCCAGTCGAATCCATTACATTCACTTATTTGCCGATACCTTTGGGAAAGGTATGAATCCTCTTCTTAAAGCTATGGGTAAATAGCAGGACAAACTGGGTTCTATAGCTTTGTATATCTACAAAGGAAAAATAACAAGCCAAAGTAGTACCTGTTTTATTATGTAGATATCGTTCCAAAATAAAATATGTACGGTGTAGATATATTTTCCAGGTAGATAATATCTACTTTGGCTTTTGTTTTCCCCCTTGATAAGAAGAAGCCAAATTAGAACCACAGACTTCAGATTTCACCACATCTGTTGTCATCTTCCCCATATCTGCTGACATATTTTCTATGTAATCAGGTCGACACTCTTTATATCTATTTCTTCCAGTCGCCACGCTGGTAGGATATGCTTGGTTTAATGTGGGTGGGGTCCATCTATGTACATATAGAAAAAATACGTAAATTAACCAGTCTCAACTACCACAGTCGCGCTGGCTTTGGTATCAACCCCTCTTTAGAGCAATGAGTAAGATGTTACTGCAGAGTTGGGATTCCCAGGACCAGACATTCGTCAAAGCTTTTCCGTGAACCACCCGCAGGTAGAAACTGGGTATTGGAGACGAGAACAGTTACTGCACATTGATCCGCTATTTATTCACCTCCTCAGTAGGATGCGATATAATATTCGTTTAAATTTGAGGACCGTACATAGGGGTCAAGGACAAAAATTGCCCAGTTCTTGTGACTACCGTTATTCCTCTATCGAGAGGTGAGGGTTTTTAATTTCAGGGGTCAGGCATCTAGTATAGGAAATACGGAAACCCAATAAGGTTAGGGGTAGTTTTGTCAAACACCGCAAAACCGAAACATTAACGTAAGAACTCTAGTAATATTCTCAAACAGATTCCATCATTGTCGGTCGGACATCGAAATATCACCAGTCACGATGTATGAGTGTGTCCCTACGGGTGGAGACACTATTGAGCCTTAAACTTACCCGACACCTAAAGTGGAACTAGTACACACGATCTATCGCTAAAGGTGCAGGAAAGATGGACGGTTCCCGGTACCGCCCCAGGAAGTACCTGACTCGTGCTATCCTCTTCCCTTAAAAGAGCCAGAACAGGCCTAAAATAGAGTACTGCTGTCCAATGGCGTAGCTAGAGTAAACGTCACCCGGGGCGGTCCGCTCAAATGTCACCCCAATGACCCCGATTCACCCTATGCTGAATGGTTAGCTGTA